TCTACCAATTTGTTGTTGTTTGATTTATCATCTACGGGTTTATATCGAATTAATTTGATGGCCTGCTCCCAGTTGGCTTGTTAGCTCAATTGGTAGAGCGCTGCACTAGTATCGCAGAGGTCAGTGGTTCGAATCCCGTACAGGCCTGAAATTTTTTTCAGGTCTGATTTTCACTATTGCTCAAATAGTGCTTTACTGCGAAGGATCGTTCTCATATACGTCTCATAACCGCAGTTCACACATATGTTTCATATGTTTGTTGTTGTTTGATTTATCATCTACGGGTTTATATCGAATTAATTTGATGGCCTGCTCCCAGTTGGCTTGTTAGCTCAATTGGTAGAGCGCTGCACTAGTATCGCAGAGGTCAGTGGTTCGAATCCCGTACAGGCCTGAAATTTTTTTCAGGTCTGATTTTCACTATTGCTCAAATAGTGCTTTACTGCGAAGGATCGTTCTCATATACGTCTCATAACCGCAGTTCACACATATGTTTCATATGTTTGTTGTTGTTTGATTTATCATCTACGGGTTTATATCGAATTAATTTGATGGCCTGCTCCCAGTTGGCTTGTTAGCTCAATTGGTAGAGCGCTGCACTAGTATCGCAGAGGTCAGTGGTTCGAATCCCGTACAGGCCTGAAATTTTTTTCAGGTCTGATTTTCACTATTGCTCAAATAGTGCTTTACTGCGAAGGATCGTTCTCATATACGTCTCATAACCGCAGTTCACACATATGTTTCATATGTTTGTTGTTGTTTGATTTATCATCTACGGGTTTATATCGAATTAATTTGATGGCCTGCTCCCAGTTGGCTTGTTAGCTCAATTGGTAGAGCGCTGCACTAGTATCGCAGAGGTCAGTGGTTCGAATCCCGTACAGGCCTGAAATTTTTTTCAGGTCTGATTTTCACTATTGCTCAAATAGTGCTTTACTGCGAAGGATCGTTCTCATATACGTCTCATAACCGCAGTTCACACATATGTTTCATATGTTTGTTGTTGTTTGATTTATCATCTACGGGTTTATATCGAATTAATTTGATGGCCTGCTCCCAGTTGGCTTGTTAGCTCAATTGGTAGAGCGCTGCACTAGTATCGCAGAGGTCAGTGGTTCGAATCCCGTACAGGCCTCAAATTTTTTTCAGGTCTGATTTTCACTATTGCTCAAATAGTGCTTTACTGCGAAGGATCGTTCTCATATACGTAAAATTGATAAATTGGATAAACGTCTTTCAAGTATAGTCAATCAGTAACCATCTGGCACTTGATATTATAATGGCATTAGACAGAGTCCAATACCTCACATAATTCTACGCTGGTGATAAATAAAGGTGATACATACATGTAATGTAAGTCAACTTTATTGTTTGCCGGTAAGAGTAGAGCCGCATCAAGTGGGGAGAAGAAGCACAGAGGCCGAATAAATATAGGGCCCGCTCCCCCGATGCGGCCGCCCAAACCGCCAGACATATGGATGGAGAAGGGAAGAGTCAGGTGCAGGATGAAGGCGAGAAGATGGGGATGGGCCACGGACAAACGACGTGCTAAAGGCTGGTCAATGTACAGGAGCACGGCGTCGGAAGACCAGTCGCCTGGAAGGCTGATGAGTTCAACAGGCGCATCACAATGGAAGGCGAAGGTTGCTCCTCCACGACAAAAGCTATGAACAGAGTAGTGAGAGGCCTTGAGCCCAGCGATGCTCAAAGATTTGCGTAATGTAGTAGTAGTAAAAGTTGAGTGTGTGATGGGTGTAGCTAAGTCCCCACAAAAGTGCAGAAAGGCGGGCGAGGATGGTGGAGCGGGAAATAGGCGCAAGTGTCGTTCGTAGGCCTGTACTGGGCACAACGGATGATTACAGGGGAGGCGGACTACCGGTATGAGTAGCTGTCGCTCATTGAACTGGATTGTTTTGGACCAAGTCACGCAAATGACTAAGCCCCACGGACGAACGATAATATCCTTACGTAACAGAGTTTTAGAAGGGTCGTAATCTTTGGTGGATTTCCGAACCAGGTTAGACTTACGGGAAAAAGAGTAAAAGCCAATTCGCATCGCCGCCCAGAATCCTGAATCTCTGTGGGCCGTAAGCGTAGGACGGAGGCGGAGAAGGATCGCTGGAGTAATGGGTAGTTTTTGTTCGTGTGTGTCACCCAAAATGTGGCGGAGACCGCGAACGATTAGTTTGACAGCAAAAGCATCCTGAAAGGTGACATTGTGACCAAGGTGTAGATGAAGGAGGTTGATAGCTGGTAGGTAATTCATTATCGTTGGATATTTGCAGTAAAAAGACAAATGGACGAGGAAGCGAATGACAGTTTTGGATGAGGCTGGGATAGGGGCCAGTCCAAACTCCGAACAGAAACTCTCCCCTGGGAACGGCGGGTAGCCAAGGTTGAGTACAAAGGCGAACTAAAATTGATATATCGGATAAATGTCTTTCAAGCATAGTCAATCATTAACCATCTGGCGCTTCGTATTATAATGGCATTGGACAGAGTCCAATACCTCACCTTTCATTTGTGGAGGCCAGTCCGCATTCTTGTGGCACACTGCTGTGTACCAGGAAAAGCTGTCCATATTTTGGTTAGATTGGCCATACAGGACACCTTACAAACCGGAGTGCTACCTATATGTCGAAATGAGGCTGGCAATGTGGTGGAGTTTGAACGCAGATTAGACTTTATCTAGTTGGGAACACTTGTGGGAAACGGCAATTGAAGCTATCGACTTCTATTACGAAACTACATCGTGTAGGTAGGGTAGGTCCACGTTTGTACCGGAGATTCGAAACAGAACGAAAAAATAATTGCACATTGCATTATTTAAAAGTTTAAATTTAATAATACTTTGTTATGCTAATACAGGTAAATAAAACTACAGAAAATACAAAAAGCGCATGACTAGTCAATAATTGGGGGAAACTAAATTCCCATACAAAGAATATTCTCCAATATTAAATGTACTAAAATTTAAGAAGTAAGATTTAAATGCGGCTCAAAACTAAATTAATTAAATTGCATACTAAAATTGACACTAAAAATTAAGAAGTACAATTTAAATAAGGCCCGAAGCTAACCTAATTAAATTGGATACCGATAAATCACGAGTTTCACCTGATTTGAAATTGACGCAAATGATCTAATAGATAGGACTTAATTAACGAAGGTGCATGCATCACGTTCGGTGGAATACTTTTCCAGTCTGTTATGTAGCGATTGAGAAATGAAAATTTAAAGTAATTTGTACGTCTCTCTTTAGGTCTTATCTTTAAAATCATAGTTCCTACGCGTTTTCGCCAATACATTAAAATAAAAAAAAACATACGAGGATCTATGTCACAGTGTCCGAAAATAATCTTGTACGTCTGCACTAAGCAGATAAACTTCCTTCGTAACTCAAGCGAAGGCCATTTCAGGACCCCAAATTATGTGTACTTCTATTTCCAAGCGAATGTCCTCAAGACCAAGTTAACCATATCTTAAAAATACTTTAAATGTACTTATGGATATGTCTCCACAACTCGAATGATTTTTTTACGTGCCCTGTTTTTAGACGCATCCTCTCTAACTAGTTCCCTTATACAATTAGACGATTTTCCTATCCTGTTACTCAAATAGGTCGTCAACATTCGCGTACAAATTGTTATCGTATTCCTTCAAATTCACGTAAGTCTAAAACAAAAGAAAAGAAGACTTCAATAAAGTTATTCAACATTAACATGTGGCATATTATGTTATTTAAGTGGGAATGAAATAGCATTTGACGTAACTGACAAAGGAAAGCATAATATAACCTTCTTTGTCCCTAAAGCACTATCAGTAACTTAAAGAGAGAAGTTTGGCATGTTATTACATATGGAACAGACTTACGTTCATGTTTTGCATCAATTTTTTCAAGGTGTCTTCAAGTTGGGAGAATGTCGGTCGGTTGTTTGGTTTCTCTTCCCAACACTGGAACATGATCTGGTAACTAGAGATATCTCAGTTATATCAACAACACAGTAACTAACATCATAAGAAAAAATAACCTCAGGAAATACTTTGGCAATTAAAAATCAATGACACAGATTTTTTTCTTCATTGAGTATCTCAAACTCGTCAGCTCGTTTCTTTGTCGGTATTGGATATATTAAAAGACTTGCCACAAGTAACATCAAATACTCAGGCGATAACATTAGATGCAATGGTGACTAAGTAAAACTTCACTTCATCGACCGACCTGTGGTAAACGGACACCATCTAGGCTAATAAAAGAGTTCCATAAGAGGTTGGAAGTGTCGGTTTATCTGATCGCGGGTAATATGACGTAGTGTTTCCCTATTAGAGGTGTCCACTTTTGGGCGATTTTCACAGTTGTTTAAATGCGTCAACAAAATGGAGAAAAGAATCTGAAAATATCGAAAAAAGACAAAATAAAGAGCACTTACAGTTGTTCATCAACATGTTTTGGTTTTGGCATACGGTATCCCTTCTGAAGTTTGCCTGCAATTTCTCGGCCATTAATCCCTGGGTACGGTGATCCACCTGGAAAAATCATAAATAAGTAATTTCAAGTCGCGATGCAAGGGCAACGCCCCAAATTTAAGGACCACTGCAATGAAAAAAATTTCTTTTCGTTCTCTCTTAAGGCCCAGTTTCTCTCTCGCAAAATGCAGCTTATCAATCATTTCGACACAGTTTCAGACAATAAGTCGAACTGTTACACTCGCAATTTTTCGTTTGAAGGCTGTCTTTATCGGTCTACGTTTAAGACGAGTTTCTTAAGAAGGCTGGATCGAGAAAAAGAGAGAGTAATCTTACTTTCGAGTTAACTCCTAAGTAAATGACGTCACGTTCTCTTCTTGATCCATCTCCCTCAATATAACTCGACAGGAAAATACATTGTATTTTGGTAAAGGCAACGCTTCTACCGAAGAGATCACGACAATAAAAAAAAAACTATTTCAAAATTGGTGTATGTGGTACCAATATGCTGGAATGTAAAGTTGAAATCTAGCCAAGAGAAAGAGAACAAAATAATTTTTTCATTGTTGTAGCAGTCTATAGTACTCTACAAAAGAAAAAAAAATAGAAAAGAAGAGAAAACAGAGGAGCACCAACCTACAGTAAATATCTCATAAAGAACAACACCAAAACTCCATCTGGACGTAAAAACAGATTTGTGAGATTAATATCATCGCCTCTATAAAATATTTGTACATTTATTTTGTAAATATAAAAAAAATAAATGGCTATGAATACATCCCGATACAAAGTGAGTGAGTGAGGCCTAATATATTTCGTGGAGTCCCAAATCAACATTTATCTCAATCGCACTAGTTCCCCCAAGCGTGTCCTATTGTAAAACACACAACAGGTAATTAGAACTAATGTGTCAACCACTCTAATGTGCGGCTGTGGTCACTAAATATAGCTGCCAGAAGTTGCATCATGAAAAGTTTCGTCCATGTGATACAAAATCTCCCTGAGAGAATATTTACACGTCACTTTGGGTCGTATATGTCCCGTAAAGTAGCCCTTCGTATGCTGTCCACTTCGCTGGTAGACGACCCTAAAAAGGAATACAGTGCATGGTTACTTGAGAGTTACAGAAAAATGATAATCTATAACCATAGAATCAAAGAGGAACTCTAAAGAAGAATTTTAGTCTAGGTGTTTAGCAATTGGTACCTCACAATAACATTTATTTTAGGCTACGCAAAATAAGTGGAAACCATTTTTAACAAACTTTATAACAATGTATTGGCTAATTAAACTTATAATATGTATTTCCTGTGCTCTTTTCAATTCATAGAGGTTTTTAAGAACCTTTCTCACCCCACTGTGTATGGTGTAGATATCATCCTGGTGAACGTTCCTGGCCATTCCAAAGTCTGTCACCTTACACTCTTCTCCTTCTCCAACAAGAACATTTCTGGCCGCCAAGTCACGATGGATGATCTGAGCGGAAACTAGAGGGTTACTTACTTATAATTGATTAAAAAGAATCAAAAACTGAGTTGGAGCTGGCTTGTTATTGAAAGATGAAACAAAACAAATTGAAATTATATCATCTTATTGACCGAGCACTCCAGGCTTGGTGCCGGAACCTATGTTAATAAATGTCTCCACAATGTCCACACCACAATTCATCCCAAATTCATTTACTGGCACATTGTGGGGGTGCCACTTGAATATTCGGCTCTCCACGTCTATAAAATCTTTTAAAACAGGAAGTTCGGATATGAGGGGAAAGAGTTCGGGCAAAGCAAATGAAAAGAATAAGCGAGACTATGGTAACCTTTATAGACGCAGAACCTACAAAATTCTTTACCCACCTTGTTGGACGAGAGGTACCTCATTCCATCAGCAATTTGGCAGGAAAATCGCACCAGTTGTTCCGCGGTAAGGTTCGTCTCAGGTTGAACATCCGGGTCTTTAAAATATGTGTCATTCAGACCGCGACTCTTTCTTAGGTAACCCAACAGATCACCGTAAGGAATGTACTCAATCAGAACAAGTAAAGGATCTACAAAGGGTACATATAATCTACATTTTTTTCATTCATCTTTTAGAATATAAAGTTATTCTTGAAGATTCAGTTTTCTTACCAGAGTTGGTGACGCATCCCATTAGTTTGATGACATGAGGATGAGGCTTTAGTATCTTCATTACCTCAAGTTCTGACAGGAGATCCATTCTGTCTGATTCAGGAGCATTTTCTATTACAGAAGGACCAAACGATTTTCCATGTTTACCATTTGCCACAAATAACTATAGAAAGAAACTTTAAAACCTTTTTTTTCAATTCATTTAATTGTAGCTGTGCGTTAAATAGCGCATGAAATTGCTCCACTAAGTAACTTTTTCCTTTGTTATAAAATTGCCTGTTATGAATGAAATAACTTCAGTGGCAACATCACATAGCGTATTGGAAGATACGAATCGCTGGCAATAGCCGTGCTTCAAGATGCCCTACAAGACGAGCACCTTGGATATGTATATATTAAGAAGGACGGTAAATTTGGGCTTGCTGAAGAAATAGAGAAGGACGTTTATCGTCTCGCCGCGATTGTGGTACAAAGGAAAAATTTTGAGTCTTCATGAGGAATCGACCCTCAGACGATCCAATTCCGCGCTCCAGTGCTCTATCACTGCACCACAGAGGCTCTATGCTGAGCAAGGACGTTACGATGTTGGTCTTTACAGAGTCTCTGTAAAGAGACTCTGAGATTCCTCAAAGAAACTCGCGTGCCTTTTTTTCTTTGTTCCACGCTCGAATGACAAGACGAAAAATACCTTTCCCTACCTTCGATATATTTTTCACCGGCGAAATTCGGCAATTCATCAGAGCAAACATCAACCACCCATATCCCCGTGTCATCTTACTGAATCACGTACTTTTTAGCATTTTTACTGCTACAGTTATCTGTTCTTCTGTTCCATTGGTATTTAAAAAAGCTATTGCCTTTGCAACCTGGGAGAAAGCACCCTTTCCAATCATTTTTATAATGTGTACTTGTTCCCGTCTTATTTCCCAGTTTCGAAGTTTTGTCGATTGATCAAGCGGCATGTAGTCCGAGGAGACCAGAGTTTGCTCGTGAAGTGTGTTTGCTGACTGCAAAGAGGGAGACTGATCATAATCTGACAGCAAATATCCCTGAACATTTGTACATTCTGTGAGCTGAACTTCCATTGGTGTTTCTTCAACCTGAAAGATTGCAATATGATCTCAATCGTATCATGTTTGGAGGAGCGATGTCGCTGCAAAGTGGCAAACTGCTTATGACGCTTATCTTTTAAAAGCAAATCTCTGCGTATTTGTACATCCTATCAACTGAAGCTCTGATTGTGGTTCTTGACCCTGAAAGATGTTGCAAATATTGCTTAGGCATCATCTGTTTCGGGAAGCGAACATTTTTCATAAAGTGTCTTCTAAAATGAATTTTTGCCGTAAGTCATTTCAAACAAATAATTTCCAAATACATTGCAAATCAATCAGCACAAACTATTTTTGATTTAGTCACACATCCACTCAGTGGACTAATAGGCTGTTTTCTTAAAAGAAAAACGGCTTTCACGGATGGTTTGACTGAAACCATAGGTCATTCGGGTGGATGTGCTGGTCATCAGGGCTCACACCAGTACACAAGTTCTTTTTTTAATTAAACACTACTGTACTAAATAGTTTGTTTATTGCAGTAACTGATAAATATAATGAACCAAGTATTAGTCAAGAAAGAGTTCAATGGTGCCCTCATGTGTCACATTAAATTTCGAATTATAGTTGCATGTAGCATGAAAAGAAGATTAACGCAGTTTTGAATTTCATCACCTGGATATCAATCCGGTCTTCTCGGCAATGATACTTCAGATTACTAAAACGTAAACATGAAAATACCTGGTAAAGAGAGGCAAATCTCAATTTTTGCTGCTTATGAAAATGAGGGTCACAAAGGAAGTGCATAAATTTTTCACTTCTGCAGTTTAAGATGCCATAATTTTGTATGGACAATAGTCTACCATCCAAATTTCAGAAAGAACTAGATGATACAGTAAGTCCAAACTAAAGCCCGAAGCTAGGAGGCGATTAAACGACACGGGACAGGCACAAACCTAGTGAAATTATATGTTCAAGAATGAAAACAAGATGAAACCGCAACTAGAATCTTTCAATATTGGATTACATGCCAATCAACAGAGATTACGGTAGGAGTAAAGAGCAAATTAGATCTGATATCTCACCTTGCTTATTCCTCCCTCTCCAAATGACAAGCACTAACCCAATGATAATCACCACAAGAAGAAAAATGATTGTCAAGTAAATGGCATGATTTCGAAGCATATTTTGGTGTTTTTTCCGATCCTCACTTTGATTTGTAACTTTAGGAAAACCTGCAAGTGTGTAAACATACATACCCAGCTGACATTATATGGCTGAAATGAATGGTATATAGAGAGGTGTTTATCATGGACACATCGAGAGGGACTAGGGATAAACCCACCTTTTTCTGCGATTCTATTCAGCATTTTTTTACATTCTGTTTTTCAGTGCCAGGATAAAAATTTGATCTTGGTGTGGAATGAACTTTTAATTCAGCAAATCTATTTGAGACCTTCGCCTCTCCTATTCGACTTCTTACAGTTCTGATGCCGAAATTTAAACACTTGATATCATGAAACCCATGAATAAATACTCAACTTAGTACGTAATAACAAAAATTTACTTGGTAGTCCACAATTCAAAGACTGATAGGTATTCGTGTGCAGTATCGTTACATTAAAAAAAATAATACTCGCAAAAACGTGAAGAGAAAGTAGAGGCATAAAATTTTAACTCCTCAACTCCTCATTCAAGCCATTGTCAAGCATTGCATATACATAAAACGTACAATTTCATGCCTAAAATGTTTCTTTTGCGGGTGGACGTTGATAGTGACTTTCTTTTCAAGAACAAAGCTTAACAGAAGGCGAACGGTCGCGTGCAGTTGCCCGAGCATGTACGAGTCTGTTGACCTATAATTCAGTTGGGCTTAGAAAACAAACTTCTTTACGCAAAATTAAATCAATTGCACATTATTCATTATTCACTTCTGCGAATTTTAATTGTTAGCCTCTTTTTTCCTTTGTCTGATCCGGTTTTCATCAGGCACCCTTGATGCACACATATTGGGGATGGACTGTTATTTTGAAATCATAAACTCCATACTAACAAACAAAAAAACAGTTCGTAACTCATCGGCTACTTCGCTTAGCATGCTTTAGTTTTTGATTGAAGATAAGGGGGTGTAAAGACCTTTACAGCCTATATTTCCTAAGGCCTTTGTAAATTTTTGCATTCAAGTAAAATTGATATAGAGCGATTGGCTCTTACCTGAGGCCGTACTTCTTGTCAGGGGAACAGCTGGAAAAGAACACGAAATATTTAAGCATTAATTCACGTGTTGCAAAAAGTAGCAAAAGAAATAAAACATAACATTAAGAAATAAAATAATGTGCAAACGTTTGGACAGATTATCACTCAAGTAAGATTGAATTTCGACTAACAGTTTATTTATTGTCTCTTACCTGTGGTTGCAGCGTTTGTACAGGGAAAAGCTGGAAAAGAGCAAGTAATCATTGGGATATATATGAGTCACTTGCATGGTAAAAGGGAAACAAAATATTCAACTACAAGATCAGAATTTCTCGAAATAAT